TTTAGATAAATGATTATCACATTCTTTCATCCTGTTTTAATGTGAAATCAACAGCAAAAATAAAATAAAAAGAAAATATAAAAGTAATAAAAAGATAAATAAAAATAAATAAAAATAGAAAATATTTCTACATAAAATTACTGCAGTAAAATTATGTCAACAAGACGAGAACTGCTATATCCTATCTGGTAAAAAGAATCTCTTACTAATATAGGTTGTAATAATTGAATTTTCTTTTATTTTCCTTTTCTTTGGCATGTATCACAGGATTGTATATAAGATTCAATAGTGTTATAAATATGTGATCAATAATACATATTTCTAATTTTTTCAAAAACTGTACCCATACCTAAGTGTTTTCCTAAAGGGTAATTATGCATTATGAAGATGACAAGTTCTACTTCATGAGGTTTTAATACTTTTAATAGTTTGTTGTAAGTTTTGTGTCCGTGATCTTTCTTGTATAAAATATTATTTTGTGTTTGATAAAATTTGCTTTTTAATTTTAATCTTCTTTTGTTTTTGTTATCAATGGTTGGTAAATGTTGTTGAGATAAATAATTTAAAAGGTATTGGTATTCATAGAGATCAATGTTTAAATAATTAAAAGTGTTTAAATGTTTAAAAGGTTTAAAACTTCAAATATCAAGACACCAACTATCTGAACTGGATTATATTTTGACTTGTCAAATTACTTTAATATTATTTCAATAAGTTTTAACAATTTGATTATTAAATTTTATACATTCAGGATAAAGAATTAGTAATATTATGTTTTCTTTCCAGTCTATGTAAAATAGTATAATTATATGATTCCAATCTGAAGATCCAGCAAGCACACTTTTCTCTTAACTCTGTTGTTCTTAATTATTGCAAAGCTGAATGGTCAATAACAATATAGAAATGGGCTGTTTCAAAATATTGGTGAAAGTATTTAACAGCCTAGACAATAGCTAAACATTTCAATTCATTTGTAGAGTAGTTTTGCTTAGCTTTATTTAAACTTCTACTGACATAGATAATTCCATATTCAATTTTGTCATCTTTTTGTACTAGTACTGCACCCAATCCTGATCTGGAAGCATCAGTATGTAGATAAAAAAGTTGATTAAAATCAGGTTTAATATAGGAGCTTAAATTAATTTTGCTATAATACTTTAAAAGACTGTTGTTATACTTCAGTCCATTCAAATTTAATATCTTTTTGTAATAATTTGTTAAGTGGTTTGGCAAATTTGAAGAAGTTCTCAATAAACTTGAGATAATAAAAGACTAATCTTAAAAATTCTCTTAGTTGGCATAAATTGTTTGGCTTATTAAAGTTTTTAACTTTAATAATTTTATCTTTATCTGGTAGAATATCTTTTTCAGAAATAATATGATCCAGGAATTTGATTTTGGATAAAAAAAAATTAAAATTTGTCTACATTAATTTTTAAATTTCTTTTTATAATGTGTCAAAAATAGTGAAAAGATGTTTCAGATAATTTTCAAAAGTATCAGAGTATATAGTTAAGTTGTCTAGATATATTACAATAATTTTTTCAATATAAGGTCATAGAGTTTTATCCATTAATCTTTGAAAAGTAGTAGGGATACTATATAGGTCAAAAGATATTACATTAAACTTATAAGTTTTTATTTGTGTGATAAAAGTAATCTTCTTTTTATCTTCTTCTTTTACCATGACTTGCCAATAGCCACTGGTCAAGTCTAACTTGTAAACCAGTTAACATCTTTAAAAGAGTTTAGAATATCATTAATAATTGACAAGGGATATATATCTTTTTTAGTTTCTTTATTTAATTTTTGATAATCAATACATAGATGTCATTTGCCATTTTTCTTTGGTACAATTACTACAGACGATGACCAAGGACTTTGTGATTCCCTAATAATTCCTTTCTCTAATATAGCAGTAATTTCTTGTTGTAAAAATTCTCTTTCACTAGGAGCAACTCAGTAAGTCATTTGTTTAATTAAACTAGCATCACTGGATTTAATCTCATGAACTACTTCAGTAGTCTGTTCCAGTTCTAATGTTTGGCCTTCTTCATCATATTTTGCAAACAGCTTATCAATCTGTTGTCTTTGGATTTCATCAAGCATAAGGTGGTCAACTTTAATTTCTTTATGGAAATATTTGTTAAGTATAAGGCAGGGTTAATAATTTCATTTTCTTTGGAAGTATAATAATTCTCAAGAATATCATCAAGAGTGCTTTCCTCAGAATAATAGTTTTCATATTCTTCTAATTCATCTTCTAGATTATATTCAAGTTTCCATTGTATTTGATTATTATTTACATCATCTTTCTCTTCATGAATAATATAAGGACTAGAGATAACAGTATGAATTGTATTAACAGTTACTTCATTATGATTATTACAGACTGTTAATACTCTGTTAGTGAAATCCCATTGTGCCTTGATTTTATCAAACAAATCTGTTCCCAATAATAAATTATCTTCAGTAGAATCAATAACTTGAAGTTTTATAAGAATTCATAAGTCTTAAATATCAATATTCACATGATTGATTTGTTTAAATGTCCATTCTCTGGTACCGTTGCTGTAATAACTACCACTTTGGAAGAAACATCAATAGGAATTCTTAATTTTCTTCTTAACTTATCAGTTATTATACTAACTGCAACTCCCGAGTTCAGGACAGCTTTCATTGGATTTCCTTTAATTTGGACATAAAACTTTGTGGCAGTTGTTAGTTTCTTCTCAGTTGCTACATAAATGGTTTTTTTATTATTGGTTTTTTTAAAATTTTTGAAAAATTCTTTTCTGATCTGAATAATGTAATATTTGACCAATAGTTATACTGGCTTGCATGTTTAAAATGTCTTTAGAGATGTCATAATGTGATAGTTGATCAATGACTAAAGGTTGTCATTTAGTTTTAGGTTTTTTAGTAAGGTTAACACTTGATTATTCTGGTACAATAGTGGTGGAAGGTTTAACTATTATAGAGTTGTTATTAAAGTTTTACTTTAATAGATGGTTTCTTCTCCTTGATTAACTCTTTGTCTTTGTTGTTGATCTCTAGTTTGATGTACTTTATTACAGATCTGAGGTTTATTTCTAATAGCTTCATATATTTCATATTCGCTGTTATAATTATCAGTATAATATTCATTTTCATCTTCATTTATTTCAACTATATTGACACCTTATCAATTGTTATTTCACTGAGGTGTTGATCAGTTATTGTTATTATTATTATAATTATTGTTATATCTTCTTTCTGCTAAACAATTTCTAGAAATATAACCAGGTTTATTACAATTAAAACAACAAGGAATATCATTATTATTTCTATTATCATTACAAGAACAGTTGTTATTGTTATTGATGTTATTTTCATTAATATGGTTATAATTATTTCTTGAGGTACAGTTTGATATTCTAGGAGTTTCTTGAGCAGCAAGTGCAGAGGTAAGAGTAGTATAATTTAGGGACATTTGTTGTAACTGTCAAGTAATTGCATTGAGTTCAGTTTTGACTTTACAACTAGTTGATATATTTTAGTCTTTTCTTTTCTTGATATAGTATCTTCCTACTTTAATTTTAGCTGCATTTTTTATGATGTCAACTAAAACATTAATATTATTTAATGCAACCAACATAGCTATTTCTTTCTCTAATCCAGAAATATACATTTAAGTGGTATATTCATCTGGTAGAGCTTTAATAGGATCTACTTTAGCCAATAAGCATTTAAACCTTGTGGAAAATTCATCTACTCTCTCATTCTTTTCTTGTCTAATATTATGTAATTTATAGTATCATTTATTTTTATTTTTCTAAGGTTGTAAAGCATTTAATAAAAAGTAGTTCAAAAGATCTATTGGCATTAGTGTTATTATTCCAATAATTGATATTGGCAGTAGTATCATCATACCACTGTACAGCAACTTCTTTAAGATAGGCAGCAGCTATTTGTAGTTTTCTGTTGTTAAACTAGTTGTTAGCACTGGTTGCTCTGTTAAAATTGACAAGCCATTCAGCAGGATCTTCAGTAACTTTTCCATAGAACAGTTTTATTGGAAACACATGTGCTTCAGATTTCATCAATTAAGCAGTTTCCTTAAATCCGTCAGTTACTTTTTTAAAGAGCTCTTTTAGTTGATCTTGTGATATAGCCATGTTTAATTCAATAGAGTTTGAAGAAGTTGAAGATGGTGTGGTTTCAGCAGTACTTGTGAAAGGTTGCAGTGTATTTGTAAATGCTGAGGAGATAGAAGTGAATATATTTGGTTTATGTTGTTGTTGCTTATGTTTATCAATGTTTTTTAAATTTATAAAGGTTTGAAATAACGATATATCCAATTTCAAAAATCCATATAAACCTATTTTCAATATTTTTGTGATAATTATTTATCTTTTATTGAAGATTCTCCTTCTAAGACAATTAATTCTTTATATTGCAAAATTTTTAACACCAACATCGAATATTTTAAATTGGTAACTATTGATTTTGAAAATAAAAAAATTACTAAGAGGCTTATAGATAATAAAAATTTTTTTTTCAATATATCTTAAAATAGAATAATTTTTAACAGTAGTTTCTGAATTTGGATACTCTGAAAAGGAAGAAAATTATTATACAGCAGGTTCAGACTATATTTCATCAATTGTAACATATTACAAAGGTCAAAAACATTTATTTTTATTAAAAGTTCAAAAAGATGAAACATTTAGTGATGCAACTCCTGATATTGTTTGGAATAAAATTAGAATTTTTCAAAAATTTTCAGATCATATATATTTGAAATCACTCATGAACAAGTTCAAAAACAACTTCAAAATTTAAAAAATGAAGAATTTTTAATATATACTTCAAATAGATGAGATAATCAAGAATTGATGAATAAAGCATTTGCATGACATATCAAGTTACAAAAAATTCCTAATACAATGAACAATTGGTAAAACCTATTTTAAAATTAGAAATCATAACAAGGTTCTATTATTTTATTTTCTAAAATAATGAAATCAAAATATCCTATTAATTATCAGTTTCATGATAAAGAATTGAGTACATAAAAATTAATGTTTCATACTTACGGATGTACTGATGTAACACCTTATTATAGGAAATTATCAAAAACAGAATTTTGAAGTAATGCATAAGATCCTCAATCTGATCAAAACACATTATCATATTTATATCATTCAGATATGTTACAAATAAAACCAGTTGAGTTAATCAAATCTTCAAATAATAAAGTTTGGAAATTATTCAAAAAATCTTTACATAGCAATAAATGTGAAGCAGAAAGGTGTATAAAAATTTTATTGATTATAACAGAAGGATTTAGTATTAGTCGATTGAAAAAAAATTTAGTGGTAATTAAAAATTATATTTTATACATATTTAAAATTTATATACATTTTACTGACTTATTTATAGGTTAGTTCAGATACAATTACGAATGCACATAAACATGCTCACCTATATGAACCAGGTGCACCACAATTTGAAAAGTCTAAAAGAATTGTAAATAAAATGGCAGAAATTAAAGAACAACAATTTTTATGGTTTTTTCAAGATCGTGCTAATATTTCACAAAGTTCTTATAAAATTGATTCAAAAAGTAATTTACTTATTTGTTATTTACATGATCAAAAGTCTGAATTATGGAAAAAGTTTGAAGAAACATATCCAAATGGTATGAAAAAAACTTCTTTTATGACATGTCTTACTAATGCTACTCATTTGAAATATCGTGATGATCTTGGAGCCCTTTGTCAAATTTGTAATGATTATGAATTTGAATCATTTGAAAATCTTGAATCCATTGTTCAAGAAGATATTTCAGAAAAAAAAAATTGGGTTAGTTAATAATATCTATTTATTAATAATTATTTATTTAACTTACACATTTTTAAATTTAATTTATAGTTTTTTTTATTTTTATTGTGATAATGGAGGATTGGTATGTACTTTTGGAAGTGGAAATTATTAACTTGAAAATTTTAATTATTAACTGTTACTAGGATATAATTTTAACTTATATAGATCAATTAAAAAGACATATGAGAAGAGGATATGAGGAAGAATTAGAAATTAATTCTGATGGAACATTAGCTCATAATTCATATATTTCACACTGTTTATTATATGCATTTGGGAACTGTAATCAGGTTCATCAAATATGATATAACAAATGTAATCAATTTTTCAATCATTTGATTTGCTGAAAAATCAAATATCCAACAATAAGATTCAAAAACTTGACGAAATTCAAGAAAAATTGAAATATTATTTATCTCACCAAACTCAAAAAGTATATTTGAATGTACAATTTAAGCTACAATTAAATAGTTTTGATTATAATTTCACCATTATGATTTGTGATTATAAAATAAGGATCTTACCTAAGTCAGCTAGAGAAACCAAATCAGAATTTTTTGGTAAACAAGGGTGGACTTTACATTCTATTTTAATATATATGCGCAATTTAGAAAAAAATACAAAATTAAATATTAGCGCATATGATCACTGGTCCACAGATATAAAACAAGATTCCTGGTTTACTACAAGTTCCTTTGAAGCTGTTTTTGATTCTTTGGAGAAAAAGCCAAAATGGATATGTGTTATTTCAGATAATGGTCCACATTATCACAATTCTGAATTAATGGCCATAATCGCTCATTGGTACAATTGGTATCAAATCGAAATACGAAGTTGAATTTTTTTAGAACCTGGTAAAGCTAAACTACTATAGATTCACATCACGCTGCTATAGATAATAATTTGAATTTGATTTTAAAAATAGAAATCTATACTAATAATTTATTTATACTGTACAATATCTATCTAGATATCTCATGCAATTAAAAGATATATTTGTATTGGATATGATATAGCCACAGATGAAGATATTGTAACAGCAGATAAAAATTTAGCTGGAACACATTTTGTTAATTTGCAACCCAATCATGAAAACCAATATAAAGAAGAACGAAGTAATAACACAAGAGAATTATTTGAAAATTTTAAAAAAAATACAATGAAAAAGACAACAATTAAAACTATCAAGGGTATTTCAAATTTATTTTATTGGGAATGGCCAATAAATAATGATAAAGAAGGATATATCTGTGCATGAACCCTTCCCAATATTGGAAAATTTACTAATTTTTCACCGTCACACATTGCAAATCTCTGCAACGGAAATATTGCTTGTCCACAACCTACTATTTCTACTTATACAACTCCCAATACTAAATGGAAAATGTCTATTAAAATAATGTCAGGTAATAATTATATTTTTATTTCATGATAGATTGTTTCAGATTTTATTTAATTATTGAATATTAAAAATTTACAGATTTGGAATCTAAAGAAAATATAATAAATAATAAAGAAAGACAATCAATTATTTCTATAGATGCTGATTTTCCATTAAATAAAGGTTGGGCACTCAAAGGAAATCAGAAGTTAGGTAATCATGGGGGTGATAAAAGAATGATAAAAAAGGTAAAAATTTATTAGAAAGTTTTTTTATGAATGGAAATATGAATGTAAAGGACAAATTAGATGTACAAGGAATGCAAAATGAATTATTACGATATGTTGAGTCCAGTGAAATTAGTAAAGAAAATATTTCCAAAGTTTCAACTATTCAGAATTGGATCGCTACTTTCAGTCGTGCATGAAAAAAACAAGCTACAGAACAATATTTATATTAGTTTATATTTTTACACCTTTTAAACTGATAACATTTTATGTAAATAATTATTACAAACCTTTTTTTTGACAAATAAAATTTCATTTCAGATTGACATTTCAAAGTTTGATTTAAAGTTTTGTATACAGCTGATTTAATAATCCAAGTTACCCAAAAAGTGACAAAAATATAATAATAACACTTAAAACTAGTGAAAACTCATGGAATAAATGAAATACTGCCTACCCTTAACTTTATAAACTCTTTTGAACCTCCTCTTGTTGCCTAGATCATTAGAACATTCATTTGTTGTGCCACCGGAACACTTTAAATTCCTTAAAAATTTAATAAATTTCAAAAATAATCAATTTTAGTTTTTGAAATTAATGCCAACCCAACAACTATAAATGCCATTTCATTTTGGATTAACATTTCAAAGTTTGATTTAAAGTTTCGTCTACAACTGATTTAGTAATTCAAGTTACCCAAAAAGTGACAAAGTATTAGTAATAGCACTTAAAAATTAGTAAAAACTCATAGAATAAACGAAATACTGCTGACCTTTAACTTTATAAACTCTTTTGAACTTTGCAATTACCTCCTCTTATTGTCTAGATTGTTAGAACGTTCATTTGTTACGTCACCGTAACACTTTCAATTCTTTAAAAATTCAATAAATTTCAAAAATTATACTATTATTCATTAGAAAAATAAATTAATTTTATTTTTTGAAATCAAATACCAACCCAACAACTATAAATTCCATTTCATTTCGAATTAGCATTTCAAAGTTTCGTCTACAACTGATTTAGTAATTCAAGTTACCCAAAAAGTGACAAAGTATTAGTAATAGCACTTAAAAAT